TGGAAAAAGGGTCTTACTATGTAATCCAGGTTGGTCTTGAACTTTCTATGTAGCCTATTATGGACTTGAAGTCACAGTAATCCTCCTGCTTCAATCTCCTGAGTTCTGGGATCACAGGTATATGCCACCATACCTGGCTTCACACTGCTTTTTTATTTCATAAATACCCTTAATCCTGGGGCTGGGGATTCAGCTTAGTGGCATATGCGTCTGCCTTGCAAGTGTGTGGTTGTGAATTCAATCCCTGGTACTGATTTAAAAAAAAAAATACCCTTAAGGCAGATTTGAAGCTTGGGTCTGTTCCTTTATGTTCAGCTGCTTGTTTGCAGAGCTTGTTCTGTCATTGATTGACATACTATTTCGCAAGGGCCCAGTTCAATATCGCTGTGTTTTAACATCCATGAAACAGTGATGGACTGCTAACTTGTTGGCTTTTAAGTAGGATAAAATCAAACAGCAGGCCAGATAGTTTAACTCAACGGGATGACTTCATCAGAACTGTGTACAGCTCTGTGAGAATAGCGTTCACACAAAAGATTTATGTACATACCATACATTTTACTTAGCAAACATTATGTGCCAGTTATTATAAGAGTTTGTGAATATAAACTCATTTAATCATAAGGTAGGTATTGTAGTTTAGATGAAAAATGTCCTTCAGAACACTCATGTATTCAGAGAAAGGCTTTTGGAAGGTGATTAGACTATGGGGACCCTAATCTCATCAATGGATGATTATATTGATGAATTCATAGCTGAATGTGCTTTTTAGGAGGTGGGGTATGGTTGGAAGGCGTAGGTCACTAGGGGTGTAATCTGGAAAGGAGGTACTTTGTAAAATTCCCTTATTATAGATGGGAAAAAAAGAGACACAAAGATGTGAACTTTTCTCAAATCATATAGTTCATAAATGTCAAAGTCTTATTCAAAATAGAAGCAAATACCAACAACTTGGCCAGAATCTTTTGACATACTATATCTGTGTTAAAGACTGGGAGAGCATGGGGCCAAGAAAAGATTGGAAAGATGACAAAAGAGAGTTAATACATCAAAACACTTGAGATTATCAGTTTTGAGCTGTTTCAAACATCATACTGTTAGAATTTCTGTTGTTTTACTGAGTTTTCAAAGATCATAGTGATAAATGCTCTGATTTGGTTTGCTATATTTATCTTATTAGGATTTGATTGGGAAAATAAGCATCTGCATTCATATCATGTATGCAAAAATGCTTTTCCACAGAAAACCATGCACAAGAATGTGAATAGAATCTTCATTCATAATTGCTCCTTGGAAACAGCCACAATGTCTTATGATAGGTGAATGAATACATAAACTGTGTTACATTCAAGTGATTTAGACTACTTTTCGCCACTACTAAGAAATGAACTATCAACCCATGAAAAGCTCAGTGTAGTCCTTAAATGTACATTACTGAGTTAAAGAAACCAGTGTGAAAAGGCCATATACTGTATGACACTCTAGGAAAGACAAACTGCGGAGCCAGTTTAAAAAAAAAAAAAAATCCAGAGGTTAGGTAGAAGGAAAAAAGAGGTGCAACACAGAAGACTTGTAGGGTAGTGAAAATACTTTATATGATGCCATAATGATGGGTCTCACAGAATGCAGAACACCCAGAGTGAAGCACCTTAGGAAATATACTTTTATTTGGGTTTTGGGTGGTAATGATGTCTCAATGTAAGTTCATCAGTTTTAACAAATGTTTAACACTATCTGCTCCAGTGCAGATAGTGATAATTGGTAGGCTGTCTGTGATAAGGGCATGGAGTATACAGGAAATCTCTTTGCCTTCTCAGTTTTTGCTATGAACCCAAAACTGCTGGAAAAAAATAAAGTTACTTTTAAAAAGGCTTTGAAAATTCTAGTGTATTTTAAAATGTAAAATATTACTAAGAATGTTGATTGTGTGGAGTAAGCTTTTATTAACCTCAGTTTGTGCATTAACTTTCTGCCAGGTACTTCCTCCTTTCCTAGCGAGTATAAATGCTATGTCTCCGGGGCTGGGGATTTAGCTCAGTGGCATAAACGCCTGCCTTGCAAGCAGGCAGTCGTGAGTTCTATCCCTGGTACCGATAAAAATGAAAAAGACAAAAAAAAAAAAAAAATTAAAAAATTAAACCAGTATAAATTCTTCCAATTATATGAGCTTCAACTTTGCTTATTTGCAGAGTTTAAAAATCAACAAAAGCCAAACAAGTGATGTCTTTCATCCTCTTCTCTTGAATACCTCATCACTTTTCATTGCTACTTAGAATATGCAGAATTTTCACTTATGTGATCTTAGTTTCCATTAGTGTGTTTTTCTACATGTTTTTCCATATGATTATTCTTCAGCGAAAGTCAGTAGCAATGAAATATAATTTATTCCAGTCATGGATTGATTTTACAAGTGACAAGATAAAATCTGAAAGAGGTGATTGCAACTAAATAAAATGCCTATAAAACCTTTAAATAGTGTAGAACTAAGCTTGAAGAAAGCAACACAGCACAAGGCAAAAATGGTATGATAGAAATGCAACATACTAAGAAGTACATCCAACAGTGGAAGCAGTCCAGATAGCAGATGGACAAGTAATAAAAGTGCACTTAACCATTTTTTATTTTCTCTTTTTACATCAAGGACAAAAAAATCCCCTTAAAAGCATACTGTATCTGTGTACTTGCTAAATTCCTTCTGTCTTAAGGTAGTGCTTTGCAGGGGAAGTTTTTTTTGGTGGGGGTGGGAGTACCGGGACTCGAACTCAGGACAATGTGCTTGCCAGGCAGGCTCTGTGCCACTGAGCTATGTCCCTGGCCCCCACAGAGGACATACTGAATCGATATTTATATTCATGATTGTCATAAAAGTAATTTGCAGATATCTGGAAGAGAAAATAAATCATATTTGTTCATTTAAACTTTTTTTTTTCTTTTTCCTTTTTATCGGTACTCGGGATCGAAGTCACGACTGCCTGCTTAAAGGCATTGAGCTAAACCCCAGCCCCCATTTAAACTTCTTTAAAACTAGTTGAGTATTGAAATGATCAGTTTCAAATTCAAATCTTAAGCTATTCAAATTCAAAGCACGAGCTATTGAAACACCTAGGAGGAAAGTCAGAGGGAGCAGAGAAGCATGTGATTCCATGGAGTTTGGTTGTAGTTGTAGTTCCTTATTATATATTTCCTAAATGATATTAACCAATTTTTGAGGATGGTGACTACATTTTTAGTTTCTACCTCTTTAAACCTAATATTGTATCTGGTATATACTGGGTACTTAACAGATTATTTAATGAAGACAGAAGAGACAAAAGGCATTATATGTTCTTTGATGATACCAAGCCAAGGAATGGCAGTATGGAAGAGAACTACCTGCGTGTGTTTTGAATATGCATTTTATACCGAAAAGGGTTTCAGCTAGGCATGGTAGTACATACCAATAGTCCAAGCCACTCTGGAGATGAAAGCTAGAGGATAGAGGTCACTTGAGCCCAGTATTTCAAGGTACACCCACATAGAAATTATAAATTTGTGATCTTTTACCCTAATATTTATACACATTAAAAAGTATGAACTCTAACATTTTAAATGTAAAATAATATATTTAAAATAATTTAATGGTATGTTAACTAGTAGTATAAAAGTCTTTTTGCTTTCACTTGCTACTTTATTACTTGGTACTTTATTACCTTTTATAAAGCCTTGGTTTAACACTTTGTGATATAATGATTTGAAGATCCAGTTCTAAATTGAAGTATTCTAAGACTTTATTGTAATCATAGCTAAAAAGATACTTCAGGACTGAGGATTTAGCTCAACGGCATAAGGTTGTGCCTTGCAAGTGTGTGGTCATGAGTTTGATCCCTGGTACCAAAAAGAAAAAGATACTTCAGAAAGTTACTTAAGTTAAAAGAAAGAGATTATCGTTGGCTTTATTGAAGTACTCATTTTTTTTTTTGTGATACCATAAACGAATTCTATAAAGGTCTTTGTTGAATTTTGACTAGTAAATTTCTTTTTTTTTTTTTTTTGCTGTAGACCAGCAGCTCTAATAAATAAAGAGCATTGTATTTTACCTTATCAGCAGATAGGTTTAAGACTTACTGAAATTCATTATTTGGAAAACATTCAGATAAGTAGAAAACTGTTTCAAAATTGTAGCATATGCAGAGTTTAATGTGCTTTTTATTTATACACATTGTTTTCCATAAATAAAAGTCATACAATGTTGAAAATATTTCAAATTTTTCTCTTCAAAGTTCTTTCAAAACACATGTAAACATAACATGTAAACATGGTGAGGGGAAAAGGGATGCTTCATAACTCGTTGGTAAAACCAAAAGCATGCCTCAGACACCGTGGCACATGCCTTTAATCCCTGATATACAGGAGACCAAGGCAGGAGAATAACAAGTTTGAGGTCAGCATTGTGTAACCTAGGAGGCCCTATCTCAAAATAAAAGGGGCTAAAAATGTAGCTTATTCTACGGCTTGAGGATATGATTCAGTTCTCAGAACCAGAAAAAGAAAGGGTACAGTAAGTATGTGTGTGTGTAACATAATACAGACAGTATCACAGAAAAGGTAAAAACGTCTGAAATCTGGACTGCTTAGATTTTTGTCAGAGAAGAATACATAATTCATCTTTTAAGTAATAACAGCTAGTGCTTATGTAATGTTTATTTTGGTGATGTTATATTAAGAGACTTACATATACAGTTTTCTCTTGGTATCCATGGAAGATTGTGAACACCAAGATCTGCAGAAGCTCAAGTCCCTTATATAAAATGGCATTTAAAATACTATCAAATTAGCATGTAATATATGCATGCTCCTTTACATAGTACTTTGAATCATCTTCATGTTATGTGTAATATTTAAAACAATGTAAATAATACAAATAAGTGTTACACTGTATTGCTTAGGTGAAAATAACAAGAAAAAGTTAGTACATATTCAATATAGATATAATTCTTTTTTCAAATATTTTCAATATGCAGGTTGTTGAATCTACAGATGTGGAACCTGAAGATATGAAGGACTGACTGCCTATCCTGTATATAACTCACTTCATTCTCGATATAAGGATTATTATCTCCACTTTATGAATGAAGAAACTGAGCAAAAGCTGTTAAGTAACTTTCCCAGGATAACATACCTGGTTGTGAGATCACAGCCCAGGAAGTGTATGTCCAGGATCTGTGCTTTTAGCCACATCTAGTTTGGTACTTCGCAGAAAGATAAAATGTTTTTTGGTTTTGCACTACAGGAATTGCACCCAGGGCCTTTGCACCGACCTACATCCTCAGCCTTTTTATTTTTCATTTTGACACAAGTTTCTCTAAGTTGCCCAGGTGGGGCTTGAACTTGTGATTTTCCTACTTCAGCCTCCCAGAATGTTGGAATTATAGGCACATATTACCATACTTGGCTAGATAAAGCATTTTCACAAATCACTCCCCATTTTTTGTACATATTACATGGGTTCTATTGAAAAAACTATTCAAAATTAACTCATTCCCCATCTCAATGTATACTATATAGATTCTATTAAAAAGACTTGTTTTTATCAAAATTAACTATCAATGACTTCATATACTACATAAAGCTGCAATAGACTGATCATAGTACCTTCTCAATTTATTCAATTTTGGAAGGCCCATCCTTCTCGGGTCACCTTAAGCAGTACAAATTTGACTAACAAAAGGGCTGATTATACAGAATAACCTTCCAGTGTCAACAGGTATGTTAAATAATGAAGCTTCATTTCCTTCTTCATGAATAAACCAAACAGGCACTGCAGTAGTTCCTTTCAAAACTGAAGTAGATAGGTCTTGAGCACCTGTAGGCTGTGTATCCTCCACTCTTGATGTTGCTTGCCTCAGCAAATACAAAAAAGTTAAAAATCACCCAGGAGAAATACAGTTTCCAGTAAAATAGGTACAAAGAAATTCACTAGGGTAAACAAATAACTCATTAAATATATTTTGAGAAATAAAAGGCTGAGTTCAGATTTTAAAATCTGATAATAATGAAATGTAATTGCAAATATAAGAGTTGGGCATGGTGGCATATGCCTGTAACCCCAGCATTTGGGAGGCTGAGGCAGGATCATCTTGAGTTTGAAGATAGCCTTGGCTACATTGTGAGACTGTCTTAAAACAACAACAACTAGAGGCCAAGAAGCAAGCCTTCCCAGTGATTCAGTGCCATGCATGGGCTGCTGGGGGAATAGCCAGAAACCAGCCTTTTCCCATGAGTCAGCACCATTTGCAGACGGCAGGGGAAGAGAACAAGAAACCTCCAAGAAACAAGCCCTCCCTGAGAATTGGCACCATGCTCATGCTGCTGGAAGTACAGCCAGATGCCAGCCTTTTCCCGTAAGTCAGAGCCATTCGCAGACTACAGGGGAAGAGAACAAGAAGTCACCAAGAAGCAAGCCCTCACTGAGAATCAGTGCCATGCACTGCCACTCGACAGGAGCCAGATGCCAGTTCCTTCTGGAGCATGGGCTGGGATATAGGAAGAGCCAACACCCCACCTCACCCTCACCCCCACTCCACTGTAAGCAATAGGTTGATCCAGAAAAACACAGGCTATGATGATGGCTATTAAGGTGGAGAACAATTTAATGCTTGTAGTGCTTAGTGTTTTACTGACTTTGTGGGTCTAAACCCAATGGTCTGACCATCTAGTCAGAATGGCAATACACAGTGTAGCATCTATGGGGGAATCTTCTTCTGAGGGTGGTGGCCATTGTTGATTCCCTATTGTCTTATTTAGGGGGCCTGTGTTATTTTCATTATTTTGTTGAGTTGGGTTGAGTTTTTCATTATTTTGTTGAGTTTGTTCTCTTTGTATGTTTGATTTTATTGTGTCCTGATGGCATGGGGAGCTATTTGGGGACAGCAGGATAGATTATGTAGCCATTTTGGATATATTATCTTGTTTTAAAGTCCTTTATTGCATTCATTGTTTTGTTTTTATTGGTTATATTGTTTTGTTTGATTTTTATTATGTCTGAAGGTATCTGCAGCTATTTTGAGTATGGTAGGAGGCATTATGGTAGCCATTGTTGATTTAATAATGTTTTGAAGTTCTGTGTCACTTATGCTGGTTTGTTTTGATTGGCTTTGTTCTGTTTTGTTTTGCTTGGTTTTATTCTCTTAAAACAAAAACAACTATATATATATATGAAATAATACTAGGTTGCATTATAAGAGTAAGAGATGAAGAGCTCTCACAATATTACAGCATTCTATGTATCATAGTTGACACCTATCTAAAGTAGAAATAGAAATATAGAAAATTTGAGGAAAAGATCACATGAATCATAACATATAAAAAAGATGGTGAATTCATGTAATGCACTGGCAGCTTGGTAGCTTTTTGTGTGATTTCTTCACCAGCAGAGCCAGGCCTACACATGAGCAACCATGTCAAAGGGACCTGCAGTTGACACTGATCTTGGCATCACCTACTTCTGTGTGGGTGTCTTCCAGCATGGAGAAGTGGAGATAATCACCGAGGATCAGGGAAACTGAACCACTCTGAGTTACATCACTTTCACTGATGCCGAACCACTGATCAGAGATCTGCAAACATCAAGTTGCAGTGAACCCCCCTCAATACAGTTTTTGATGCCTGTTGTTTGGCTGGATGTAGATTTGATGATGCTGTTGTCCAGTCTGACCTGAAGCATTGGCCCTTCCTAGTGGTGAACAGTATAGGCAGGCACAAGATTCAAATAGAACACAAAAGAGAGACAAAGAGCTTCTGTCAGAGGTGGTGTCTTCTATCAGGCTGATAAAAATGAAGGCAATTACAGAAGCTTACCTTGGGAAAACTATTACCAATGTTGTGGTCACTGTACCAGCTTATTTAATGACTTTCAGCATCAGGCAACCAAAGATGCTGAAACCATTGCTGGTCTTATTGTACTCAGAATTATCAATGAACCAACAGCTGCTGCTATTGCTTATTGCTTAGATTAAAAAAAGTTGGAGCTGAAAGAAATGTGCTGATTTTTTATTTAGGTAGTGTTACTTTTGATGTGTCAATCCTCACTACTAAGTAATATGGACTCTTTGAGGTGAAATCTACAGCTGGAAACACCCAATTTGGAGATTTTGATAACTGAGTGATCAGCTGTTCAGGAGCAAGCAGAAGGACATCAGTGAGTACAAGAGAGCTGTCCACATTTCTGAACTATATGTGGACAAGCTAAGAGAACTGTCTCTTCTAGCACCCAAGCCAGTATTGAGATTGATTCCCTCTATGAAGAAATTGACTTCTATACCTCCATTATAGGTTCTTTGAGATGCAAACTAGACAAGTCACAGATCCATAGCATTGTCCTGGTGGGTGGTTCTACCAGTATCCCCAAGATCCAGAAGCTTCTATAAGACTTTTTCATGGAAAAGAATTGAATAAGAGGATCAACCTTGATGAGGCTGTTGATTATGGTGCAGCTGTTCAGGCAACCAATCTATCTGCAAACAAGTCTGAAACTATTCAAGATTTGCTGCTCTTGGATGTCACTCCTCTTTCTGTTGGTATTGAAATTGCTGGTGGAGTCATGACTGTCCTCATCAAGGGCAATACTACCATTTCCACCAAGCAGACACAGACCTTCACTGCCAACTCTGGCAACTATGCTGGTGTGCTTACTCAGGTATATGAAGATGAACATGCCAAGGATAACAACCTGCTTGACAAGTTTGAACTCACAGGCTCACCTCTTGCACCTTGTGGTGTTCCTCAGAAGGAAGTCATTTGTGGTATTGATGTCAGTTACATCGTTGGTTGTATCTGCCACTGACAAAAGTATAGAAAAAAAGAGTACAAGATTACCATCACTAATGACAAGGGTCGCTTGAGCAAGGAGGACATATAGTACATGATTCCAGGAAGCAGAGAAGTACAAAGCTGAAGATGAGAAGCAAAGGGACAAGGTGCCTTTCAAGAATTCATCTCCTATGCTTTGAATATGAAAGCAGCTGTTGAAGATGAGAAACTTCAGGGCTAGATCAGTGATGAAGATAAACCAGGTTCTTGACAAGTGTAAATCATCAACTGGCTGGATGAGAATCAGACTGCAGAGAAGGAAAAATCTGAACATCAGCAAAAAGAACTGGATAAAGTCTGCAATCCCATCATTACCCAGCTGTACCAGAGTCCAGGTGCTGTGACTGGAGGAATGCCTGGGGGCTCCCCTGGTGGGGAAATTCCTCCCTCTGTTGGTGCTTCCTCAGGGCCCACCATTGAAGAGGTTGATTAAGCCAACCTCTATAATAAATCATTGAAGGGCCTAAGTTTGTAGCAAATTCTGTGGCAGTTATTAAGGTGTAACTGCTACAGCAAAGTATTGGCATTCTCAATACTTGAATATGCAATATGTGCACAGGGAAAAGATAACATACTTTATAAGTATTGTACTATATGAAGAAATGCAATGACTTCAATAAAAGTATTTAAAATTAATTTTAAAAAATGAGGAAAAAAGTTAAAAGAACTGACGTTTTTATGCTAGAAAACCTAGAGAATTTAGAGTCTTTCAGGATATGACAGACTATAATCCCAGAAGAGCTAAGTCTTTGACACAGCTGGTTGAACCAAACATAGATTCCATAGAGAATTAGCTGAGGTAATAACAGCAAGGTACTTCTTAAGCTAGAGGCGTTAAGTCCTTACTTTTGAAATGGATTCAATCATTAATTGCACATAATTGGTAGTGAATATGGAGTCACCAAATGAACAGTATTTAAGAAGAGCTATTATTCACCACTGATAAGCAACTATAATAATAGTTATCTTCAAAGTCTAGCTAGCAGTTTGAGCTCAAAGGCCTCATATGATTGTCTGAATGTAGAAACTGCTGACAGAACTTATGTAAATAAGTTGTCACCTATTAACAGGCATAATTTATGTACGTAATAGACATTTTGAACAAGATAGTGGGGAGGAAAAAAAATGAGAGAAAAAAGTGATTTTTATTTTGTACTCATTACTCAGAGCAGATTAGAAGACAATGCAATTTCCCTAATATGGAAGCAAAATAGTTTTACTTTTTATAATAGTCTTATCAAAATTTAAATTAATGTCTAATTACTTTTAATCAAAAAGTTCATGCTAGCAATTTAAGGATTCTACCTTTTAACACTTCCCGTTGCTTTTTCTCCTAATACAGAAAGTGAGATGGTCCTGTGATCTGAAAAGCTGTATATTTGATCCTAATGTAGTAATGCTTTTTTTTTTAAATTACAGGAATACTATTGATTTTTGAGTGTTGACTTCTTAATGCAGCTACAAATTTGGTTATTGAATCTAAAAGTCTTTTGGTGGAGTTTTTGGGGTCTTCTATGTAGAGTATCATGCCATCTGCAAATAATGACAATTTTACTTCTTCCTTTCCTATCCTTATTCCTTTTATTTCTCTTTGTTGTCTAATTGCTCTGGCTGTTTCCAGAACTATGTTGAATAGGAATGGTGATAGTAGAGTATTGCTTTAAAATCCAGCTTTCTCTTTATTAAAAACACACTTGAACTGTAGGCATTAGTTCAGATCTTAAATTTGAACATAGCTAATCTGGCCCAAGAATTGATGAGCTTTTGGCCTTTTGCCCATGAGCACTTCATTGAACTATGTTCCAGATTGGAGAAACAAGTTAATTTTACTCTGTGCTAAGAAGGTATTAACTGGCCTCTATTTGAGTTCCTAAGAGTATCTGAGTTTTTCTAATTATTTCTTGGTTTACTTTTGTTTTGTTTTGTTTGACACAAGGTCTCTCTATATAGTCCAGGTTATAACTGAGATGGGTTTTGAACTAACTGCATAGCTGAGATTGGCCTTGAACTCACAGTCTTTCTATCTCAACATTTCTAGTGCTAGAATTCAGACATGTACCACTCTGCTCCACTTTGCTTTGTGTTTTATTAAACTTCTTAACTTATAAATTTCAATAAATTGATTATTTTTGTTTCCTCATATTCTTACTCATTTTTACAGCAGGATTTTCTGTTTCATTATATTAAAAGCCGATTCATGGTTAGGATTATGTCTTAATCCTAAAATGATTTTCTTTCACTTGGGTTGGGGATGCTGTGATCGGTATATCAACTGATAAATAACTGGAGGCTAGGCATCAACTCTTGTCTCACTCACTTAAGTAGGTGAATCTGTAATAATATGAAAGAGAAGAGGCTCTAAAGCAAATTGTATGACTGAAAACATTCGCTTTTGCAGCCATGTCCTTGATTAGTACCTCTGCAGACTGAACATTTTGAAAAGAAAAAGATTCTAATGAATATTAGTCCTTTTTCCTTAACCAGCTGACTGATGAAGAGAAGTCACCCTTGTCCTGTGACTACCATTCAATCAATGTTTCTTCTAGTGCTATGCCCCTCATCTCTTTTAAAGTTACAGTAAGAGAACTACAAATAACAGCTTATATAACATAAAAATAAGAATGCTTCTATAACAGACATCATTTTAGAGCAATGCTAAATAAAAATTAAGTAGAAAAAAACCTTAGTGGTTTATGAATATATTTACCTCCTACAGTGTTTGGAGAAATCAAGCTATTAAGTTACAACTCTCAACTCATGAAGGGAAAATATGTCTCACTATGTAGTTCAGGCTGGTCTGGCCTCACTATTTAGCCTGGGCTGACCTCAAACTGGTGGCAATCCTCCTGCTTCAGTCTACCAAATGCTGGAACCATGCCTGGCTCGTCCTCTTTCTTTAAATGTTTGTGGGAAGTTTTGTGTGTGTATATGTGTGTGTGTGTGTGTGTGTGTGTGTGTGTGTGTCTGTGTGTCTGTGTGTGTGTCTGTGTGTGTGTCTGTGTGTGTCTCTGTGTGTCTGTGTTTTGGGACAGGAAGTCAAATTTACCTGGAAATGTAATGATTCCCAGCTGTTTCCCTTAATTGCAATATGGTGACGGCCAGGTGTTTATTTTTAAAAGCTTTACTATTATGTTTTTATTTTGCAAGAAAATAAATTATACAATTTAAAAAATAAAATCCAAAAATTAAATCAGCTTATCAAAATATTTCAGCCTCCTGCTTGCAGACCTCAACTATTTAGAATTATACAGCATTATCATCTCAGTATGTAGTGATACACATTTAAAAATCATATAGACCCTGAGGACAGATTTTACCTTAGGAATTGATGACAGGAAAATTCTTATGTATTGTTTATTTCACACACATGACCTTGGAGGAATTTATAAGACAGCATCTCAGTCACTTACATGAAAATAGAAAATCCCACTTAAATGTGTGATAGCAAATCTTTTGAAAAACTGGCAAATCTTTTACTTGAATTTTAAAAATTTGTCCTTTGAACATGGCTAATGACATATTACTGCAAATAATGAAAACTATCTCTTTCACTACTAAAGTTATATATTATATATAATAAAAAGTAAGAATAAGAAAGCTAACATTTCAGTTTTGAAAATTTTATTATTTATGTAAAAATAGCATTTAAGTAGGTTGATAGAACTCAGGGACCTCCTACAATAAAGGTAAAAATTGGAAGACTTCAACACTTCTGTTAAAATGTCTTGAAATCATTGAAACAATAATTTTCTAGTATTTAACTCACAGTAAACATCAAAAATGGCATATATTTTCACTTTTTAAATTGTGTTTCATGGCAGTGAGGTGACAACACAAATTACTTTTTCAGATGGCTCCATCTTTAAATTAGAAGGCAAATGTTTAAAACTTAAACTTTGAAAGTCCTCTTGCAGCTTACTCATAAAAAGTTGGTTTGGGTCTTGGAGTTTAGAGATTGGCTTTTCTTGTCTCATAATTACTTGAGGTGTCATCCTTGCTCAGATGGCACAAATTTTAAGTGCACAGTTGGAGAAAAGGACTTGATAAAAAATGCTAAGGGGGGGTGGTCAGGGATTTAGCTCAGCGGCACAAGAGTCTGCCTTGCAAGCACTGGGTGATGAATTCAATCCTGGTTCTAAAAACAAAACAATATTAACTGGTTCTGTACTTTTATCAAGTTGCTGGTTATAATTATTATTTTTTAAGGATTTAAAAAAATTTTATTTAAAGAATAAACAAAACAGAAAAAGGGTAGAAATAATACATACGTTTAGAGAAAAATAAACAGTAAGAAATCACTAGTTGATGTTTACATACTGTCCTTTTACAAGTAGTTGTTCAAGATACAAAAGTGGAACATATAATGTGAGAATTCAAACAGCGAGACTGCAAACAGTTTTGTTCAACTCTCCAACAAAAACTTAGTAATATGGTTATCATTAAGTTGCTGGTTATAATTATTTTCTTCATTGTAAAGAATTGGTTTTTTAAATTAGGAAAGATAAGTCCAAACATGTCTAAAGAAAATTCAACAATGGTGTAAGTACTGTGTCAATAAAATGGGCAAAAACACCAAAAATTAGTTAAACTTTTTATATGTGATTTTAAAAAATGATCAAAACTATAAGTCTACAGTATTTGTTGCTGTTCACCCTCCCCCAAGTACCATTAGGACATAAGTTGCTATTAAAAGTTCATGAAATTCAATAGAAAACCTTTGCTATAGATTCAGTGTTACCTACTTTGAATTCAATTTGCCTTTACAAATCAAAACACCATAGTTCTCATTCTTAAATGACCAAAAAAGATTAGAAACTCCAAATGAATTCTTAGAACAATTATGATTTAAACAACAAATCTTATAAATTAAAAAAATGGCCTACAGTAATTTTTTCTCCTATTGTTTTTTCCTTTGGCTTTCTTGTATTAGGCAAACAAACATGGCAATACCAAACTGTTTGTTACACATAAAGGCCATAATTATTACAAACATTTCTTTTTTAAAGTTCAAATTTGTGTTAAATAGATGACCATATTAATGTTTTTGGTTGAATCATTGAACACAACTGTTTGCAGTCTCACTGTTTGAATGTCCACTTTGTATGTTTTGATATTGAGACTTGAGCAACTATCTCTAAGATGATAATTGTAATCTATTAACTGGTGATTTCTTACTGTTTTTTTTTTTTTTGTAGCTCTCTATTAATTGTACCCTTACACTGCTTTGTTTTGTTTTGTTTTTTTCTCTTTTTCCTTTTAAATAAAATTTAAAAAAAGAAAAAAAGCGTAAAAAAATTTCCTATTTGTTCAGTATTAATAGTTGTCTAATTACAGAAAACAGTGAACACTAATGTTAATTTCAATGTGTTGGGTCTAATAATTGAGATATACTACCTTAAAATTTTTATAATTATCAACAAAATCCCAATTTTCTATGAGTTTTAGAACAAGCATTTGACTATAGTATACTCATCAAAACCTTAAATGTTTTAAATTTTCTTCTTTTTAGCAGAAAGCTCACAATGCTGCTTGAGACTGGTGACACATTCTATGAAAAAAGTTCTTACAAGCACTCTGCAAAATATAATATTGTATGCCTTTTAGCAGTCTTACTTCCTACTTTCTTCAAAACTTTCAAATACTGCCTATGATCAAAAAGAAAATAATTTGTAAGAAGATTTGAAATATGCATACAATAAATAAAAATCCATATTGTCATTTTGTTTTGGGTAGTACAATTTTTCTCTTTTCACTTGTTCATAGTCTCAAGTCCTAAAATTTCCACCATTCTTTGTATTTAGTTGCCAGCAACTATTAAATTGCTACTTTGGATGACTGAAAGGAACAAGGCAACTATTCCCTTATGAACATTTTTTAAATATTTATTTTTGAAATACAGTGGTACTTTGATTCATGAACTTCATTTTTTCCCATGATTCTGGTTGCAAACTCAATTGAACAAGAACTGAATCAAATTCAGTGGTTTTGGGGAAAATTGATTTGACAATTCTGGTCACAGAATTACATATGCATACACTTGCAATTCAGTTGCAACCAGAATGTGGAACAAATTCTGCACCCAGCATAGTCGAAAGAATTAATTTCCTGAACCAAGGAACCATTGTATAAATTATATGTATATATTTGACAAGTTTGCTACCCATGATAAGATTGTAACATTTTTGCTTATTTTTTTGGGTCTTATGTTGTTGTTTCTCTCTTCCTCCTAAATGACTGATAAGTATTAACTTTTTAAAAGAAATGCTTTTCTTTCCAGAAACCTAAGGCTATAAATCCCTAATCATGAGACTTCAAAATACCCAACAGTTCTATGCTGCAGATTAAAGAGTTAGGTCCCACACATATATTATATCAGAGCAAATATCTGCATTGTTTTTAATAAATTTATATGTGGCATAATAAGTATTAGGTATGCAAATATGAAGTATCTTGGTGAATATGTTTGTTTTGCTCTTAGTCTGTAATCATAATGGCCTCCCTATCTGTATTTTCTCAATTGAAGCAACAATATAAACTTCACTTTCGTACAAGTTCTCCAGCCATATAAGGATTTTTCAAACTCATCATTTAGCAACATAACTAAAACACCTGCAAAAAAAAAATTTGCAAGTTAGAAATATTTAATACCATTTTTAGGTCACCATTTAGATCCAGTTATGACACTGAAGCAGGCTCTGAGCAATTTGTATATGTGCTGCCACAGTTTGAACAATTTGATTCTGTGACATGGTTACCTGCTCACCAGCATCTGCCCTCACCTAGTATTGATCAGCTCACTCCCTTCATCAAAAAACCCGAGGAGTTCTACTACTGTAATTTTATTGTACTTTTAAAAAAGCAAAGATAGCAGCATTTTTAGTACATGAATATCTGGATTCTGAGAATTTTTGTTTATGGAAGTACATTTTTTTAAGCAGGATGAAGAGAGGAAGGGAGAGACAGACAGAGAACCTGCACTTACCGTCTCATCTATATTTTTCCTGGTGGGTAAAAATCAAATTTACTATTAAAAGTTCATAATGGGGGAGGCCAGGGGCTTAGCTCAGTGGTGTAAGCACCTGCCTGGCAAGCACAAGGTTGTTTGATCCCCGGTACCAAAAAAAAAAAGTTCATAATGGGCTTTTCATGAATGGGAATTTCTCCATAAAACAGCGTGCTGTTACAGAGTGTGCAACATGAAAAGAATACCATTATGCTATCTAGTGTGACTGGCAAACTATAGTCACTTTGTAAAGGGAAGGCAGAGATTTGAAAATTTATGCAACCAAAGTTCAGATAACCTTTCCTGTAGCTCAAACTGTGACAACTTTCTGCCTAGGCACTCTAAAATCTGAATTCTTAGTATTGTTTATCATATTTGAAATTATGGTGTGTATATGAAAAGTGTTGATACTAGATTCATATCTTCTAATATATTTGTGTTCTATTAGCCATTCTATTTGCCCTTTTATCATTTTCATTTGTGGTAAGAACATATTTTTCAAATTTTCTACTAATTTAGTCTGCAGCTGAGCATTACTAATTTTCTTTCTGATTTGCATTATTTGTATGATAGTTTGTTGGGTTCTCAGTATTCTAAGTTGAACTGATTACTTCGTTGTCTTCTCTCTTCTACAGTGACCTACAAGTGTCCAATGAAGCTGATTTTACCCCTTTTCTGAACTTTTACATTTTTTATTAAACTGAACTCTTAATTCACTGAGAAGCCTGTTTACATAACCTGCTGGCATCCCAACTTCTTTTAACCACTCTATCATATATTTTTCAATTTTACTATTTGGGGAGATATCTAATAGAAGACTGTTGAGCTTTGTGATACCTCATAAAAAAATCTTTGTTTTGGACCAGTAGCACTTTAAATATGATAATATCATTTGTAACAGCTTTATACACCTTATCTCTTGCAGTAAGAAATCATGGATCATCTTGAAAAGCTGCTTTGTTGAGTTTACTAAATCTATTAAATAGTGTAGGTAACTGCTCTACAGTTTTTACAGCACCATTTACTGAAGAGTCTCTTCCAGTAAAGATATTTGGCCTCTTTGTCAAGGATAAGGTGGCTGAGTGTATTTATAATTGTGTCTGCATCTTCTAATCCACTGATCTTCAAGTCTGTTTTGTTTTGTTTTGTTTCCAGTATCATACAGATTTTATCATAGTAGCTTTGTAGTATAATTTCAAGTCAGGGTTTGTGATGGCTTCTGCATTGCTTTTGTTGTTCAGAATTGCTTTTGTTATTCTAGGTCTCTTTTAGTTCCAATGAATTTCCTGTAGTTCTGGGAGGCATGCTAATGGTATTTTGCCTGGGATAGCATTAAGTCTATATAACAATTTTGGGAGTAATCAGGCCAGGACATATGATGTGTTCCTTCCAAAGTTCCCATTACAAATTTTGCTCATCAATGAAAATACTGAATATAAGTTCTCAGTTTCATTTCACTGATTCATGCCTTGATGCTCCACTGGGTTAATCTCTTTAAATGATGTCACTAAGACATTCACACAGTATTACATGAGTGCTTCAGCAGTTACATTTTTCTCTTATTTCTAAATAATGTACTCATTTTTCTTCTTTTAATTAGCATCTGCGTATTCCATACAATTCTGTACACTATTTTGTTGTAAATATGAGGGTGTTTCTATAAAATCTCTGTTGAATCCAAGTATTTCTTCTCATAATTGTCCCTATAATTCTGAAGCTTAACCACAGAATTAGAACAAAGATTAACATAGATCTCTCTTACTCCAGTGACCAGCTGAGAATCAAAAGCTTCTAATCTTTTTGCATGTACGAGCTTCATTGCATTATCTTGTAGCCTGCCATTAATATTTGAGAAAATTGATACATTCCATGTACAAAGTATGAGCTTTCACATCACATTTTTTAAAAATTACAGACCTCGGGGCTGGATATTTAGCTCAGCGGCATAAGCGCCTGCCCTGCAAGCAGGCAGTCGTGAGTTCGATCCCCGGTACTGATAAAAAGGAAAAAGACAAAAAAAAAAAAAAAAAAATTACAGACCTCTACCCATTAAAATAATCTGTAGTTGACCAACCAATGTAAAATATCACATTGTGTAAAGAATTCCTGCCTATTCAACAATAGACGCTTTTAGCAAAGCTGTGTCATCTTGATAGGTTAATGGGTGCCTAGACTTGCTTTGTAAGTTCAAGCATATCCTCTTTTAAAGCCTGATGACTTTTTGCTGGACTTTTATCATCCGAGAGACAGATTATGTAAATGTCAGAAAACAAGTCAAACCACAGTTGTTTTATAACAGATTCCTGTTTTAAAGTTTTAAAGTTTCCTGTTTTGAAGTTTACTTCAAAACAATCAGATGCATAAAATCCTACTTGTTTTTAAGCTGCAGAGAGCCTTTATTTAATGCATGAGACATCGCCATCTCTTTCAACTCTGACTCTTGCTGCAAGAGGAGGTGGTGTTTCTGACCAGGCCATAGGCAGAGGTCCACAAGACCCAAAGGGCCCAGCCACCCACAGGGTTAGTGTAGGTCTGGAGCTTCCTTAAATAATGTGGTGAATGATATGGTAAGGGGAGCCAACCTGATTTAGAAAAGAAAGCATGGACTCCACTTCCTCATCTGCTTTGAAATAATGTTATGGTTTGTATCTGGGTGTCCCCTCAAAGCCTCATGCAGTCATGGTGGTGGCTGAGTCTATTGTTTGTGATTGGTTTGCTGTCTAGCGTAGGGATTGGCGGTGTGAACACTGCACCCACCCAGGAGTGGGTAGTTGGCATATCATATGAGGGAGGGAAAGAGGCATGCTTTTCCCTTACGCCCTTCTTGCTCTTGTGGCTGTAACTGCCATGAACAGTTGCCACTTAGCCATGCCACCCTGCCTTGTAGCCAGCCGAGTATGGTTGAAACCTCTATAAACTGTAAGCTAAGTAAACCTTTCCTTTCTTCATCTTGGGCATCAAGTATTTTGTCTCAGCAAGGAGAAAAAAGTAACCAAGACACCTAGATATTTATGTTTAAAGCAATGATGTCATTCAGGGGCAGGAAGGCAGGGTGTGGCAAAGCTGATTGTCAGAGTAAGTTTGACCTGATTTGAGGACACCTGCACCAGATAATTCCCAAGGCCCCATATGTGGAATTCTACTGGGTTCCTGTGATGTGTGGAAGAAATAAGAGGACACAGATGCCATGAGGAGCTTGCTACCCAGTATCCTGCCCTGTGTTCCCCAGGGTGCACTTTTATTTTTATTTTTCGTCTCTTACTCTACCCAAATTTGCTCTGCAGAGCTAATTTCTCCCTTACCTTTCACTCTTAATTTTTCAAATAAACTTTGCTACTGTTTTTACTTGTTTTGGTCAATTATTTGTTTCAGAAAAAAAAAGGGGCTTGGGAACCACTTCTAGAAAGAGAGTCTAACAAGTCCACTTTGTGTTTATTGACATACCTCTTTTGTCTGAGAAATTTACTGTGAATATGGCTTCAGTTAAGAAATACACTGAACACTTGATTTTGGTACAAGAAAGGAACTTTCCCGAGTTTTATGGTGTGGATTGCTCTATGTGTGGACCACAGTGTAAAACTTATAAAGGACTTGGCAATGTATTGGTTTGTAAGTATTCTTATTCATTTCCGAATGCCACTGAAAACCACCATTTAGAAAATTCTGTAGACTATTGTTTCGAAGTAGGAAGAGTACAGTATTTGGATTCACAATCCGTTTTCTTTAAGAAGACAAGGCCATGTCGTGATTATGAATGGTAAAAATGAGTATTTGTAGCCTTACTGTGGGTCTAAATCTTTCAGTGTCATGTTGGGATACAAGGAAATGTCCCCTAAATCAGGGAAGTTCACACAGATCTTAGTTCCTCTAATTACCTTTGTTAACTTAGTTGTCCACAGATTTGTGGCAAATTTTCTGAAATCATATGATCTGAAGTATAGATTAATGCTTCAAAAATTGTTACCTGCCCATGGAAATAGTGAATAAAACCTAAATTACAGTGTTGTGGGAGAAAAACGAACCTATATCTACTTCAAGATATTACCATTTTTTATTCTGCAACCACTGAAACGTGTAATTCTCTGTTCTGTTCATTTTCTGTGCCTCTTTTGATTGGGAGAAAAAACATAAATGGATAGATCCAAATGAGAAGCAAGAAGCTGTGAAGTGTGCCTTTAGCTGACTTGGCAATTCATGAAAATGAAAAAAAAAGTAGATGTAAAAAGCTCTACAGACATTTCTTGGTACACAGAATCAACAGCCAAAACTGCTGATTTAAAGAAATAGAAAATTGTTCAAATAATGCTAAATGAAGCATAATTATTCTAAATTCTTTGGACACTTACTTCACTTCTAAGTTCCCAATCTACACCAAGCCCCACGCCCTCCCGTCCGTTCCTGGGGTGTCTTTTATCCCCCTGGTGGTCAAGCGTCCGTCTCCCAGCGCAGTCACCCGCGGCTCATGGCCCCCGGGGCAGCATCACTACTAGCTGAGCGAGTCCTAGGCTCGGGACGGGCCGCCGGTGTTGTGAACTTTGCACATCGCGTGACAGGAGGCTAATCCCGCGCGGCGAGCCGGCCTTTCGAGCCGGTCCTTAGCGGAGAGGAAGGAGGCCGTTCCCCGCGGCAGGGGCGGCGGGCCTGCGCAGCTGAGCCCCCGCCCCCACCTCCGCGCGCGGTCCCAGCCGGTTCGCGCCCCCGGGCCCCACCGGCCGCCTTCCCCGGCTGTCCTCGGCCGCCCCGCGCGCTTCGCGGGAGGAGCCGCCGGCCGCCGTGACGCGTCAGGGAGGAAGCGCCAGCGCCCGGCGGCCCTGCGGGAAAGAGGAAGCAGGAGGGCGCTCAGCTCCGCGCTCCCCGCCGCGAGGCACAGCCGCCGTGCCGGGTAGGTGCGGGGCTGGCGGGTAGCTCGCGCGCGTCTGGGCCGCAGTCGGAGCTCCGGGCGGTAGGAGAGCGGCGGGGCGAGGGCTTCTCGGGCCTCGATTGCCGCCTCCGCGGGGCAAG